TGTGGGGGCTGCTTGAAGGAGGCTGTGACTTGATAGCTTTAACTTTCGATGCATTCATCTTATCACATAACCTTTCGTCTCAACTAATGCCGTCTAGAAAATAAAAATCATATTGATTTAGCAACTGTGTAATTTCTTAAAGGTATTGCATAGTGATCCTTGCTGAGTCTTCTATGTACGCCAAAACCCTAAAGTATTTCTCTGTTTTTGTTAATCTTCTTCTTGAAAATGTAGATAATGGGTGTGAATGGTAATGTGTAGAGAGTAAAAGTGTGGGAGAGAAAGGGAAAAAAAATGAGGGAAAGAAAAATTAAAATTAGAGTAAAATTTTTCAGCCCATTTACTCTTAACATTAGTAGAGTAAAATTTCTTTCTCTTTTTGATGCTTTATGTCTTTTCATAGAGTAAATGGGCTGAAATATTTTTGCTTCCCTTTCAACTTGATTGGTAACAAAATAGAGTAAATGGGAGTAAATTAATTTTTTAGCTAAAATGTGTATTAACATTCACAGCCAATATATTGCAAAACAAGTTTGAAATTTGAAATCAAACACAACGAACAGTTGAAACACATCTTAGATCAATTTGTGTGTATTAATTCACAAAGTTTGGAAATTTTTCCTTTTGTTTTCTAAGTTTATACTATTCATTTTTCCAAGTTTTTCCTTGTACTCTCTCGGATTGTTGAACTGGAGATAGAGAAAATGAATGATCTTTTTGTGTAAACCACATCGAAGATGTTTTCCAATATTCATAGTGGATGCAATTGTGGAGGAGAGTCTTCACCCCTCAAACCTTCGATGAATTTAGGGTAAACATTTGTTGTGCTCATTGTTTCAATTGGTTTGTGTGACTAATATATGTGAATCAATAAATAGTTTGGGACATGATTTAGGAGTTAAATCCTTTAACAAAAAAAGAAATCTATTAGAAACAAAAATCTAAAGATACATGAAATGGTTTAGAACAAATGTACAACCCCTAATCGAAATACGAAAGAAGTTTCCCTATCATTACCATTCCAATTCCAATTCAATCAATTTTCTTGCCCACTATACAATTTGTTACGATATTTAATTTGTAGTGTTGCCTAATTTATTTTGCTTTCTTACTAATATATTTAAATGATTTTAAGATAAAAGAGACAAGTGATAAGATCGGTATCATTCCACCGAGCTTTCATGCTCCCCTTCTTCTCTGTCTCGTCTAGCCAAATCCCGTCCAAAATTTGTCTTCCTCTGATTTCCGTGCTGCGGACGGGCATCCCTATGTCTAACCTCAGAATCATCATTTCTTCGAAGATGATCATTTCTTGCAAATGTCGATGTGTTCTCGTTGTCTTCTGACGTTGTTGTCCCTGAACTGGATTCAGTTTGCCTATCAAAAGATCTAATTCTTGCTCCACCTGATCTGAAACCTCTTGCGATAGGCGCCTTCGGATTATAGTCAGGTACCTTCGGAAGTGGAAAATCCTGGGGAAGAGAGTCCATTTCCATAAAACAGTTCCTGGCTCTGGCATCAGTGATCAACGCTGCCCAATCCTCAGACTTCATCAGCGCTGATGCATTTCCCATCACCTATTCAAGAAAAAAAGTGTCAAGACCTCCAGACAAAAATTGTGTATGC